GTGGCGGGTTGCAGAGGTTCAAATGTTCATATCATTAAATGTAACAGTGAAGGTTGGCAGGGGTGGCACAGTGGTTAGCACTGCTATCTCACAGCGCCAGAGACTTGGGTTCAATTCCAGCCTCGGACAACTGTCTGTGTAGAGTTTGCTCTTTCCTCCTTTGTCTGCGTGGGTTACTTCCCACAGTCCAAAGATTTGCAGGTTAAGTGGAATGGCAGTGGGAAATTGTCCATAGTGTCCAGGGATGTATAGGTTAGGTGGATTACCCATGGGGAATGCAGGGTTACAGATCTGGGTGGGATGCTGTTCAGAGGGTTGGTGTGCACATGATGGGCCAAATGGCCTGCTGCCACACCGTTGGGATTCTAATAAGATCCTGTTTTATCACATCAAGGCCAAACAAAATGCAAAGCAAGCACTGGTGCACTTCTAGAGAGGAATAGAATCAGAGAAAGTTTGAATTGAACCTAGAGTCCGCGCAGAGTACTGTGTGTCGCCTTAATCTCCATATTATAAAAGATGATAGAGAAGCTTTGGGGGAAAAAGATGCAAAGAAAATATTTTATAAGGAACATTGTAAAACTGAGAAGTTAAAAGTACCCAGGAAAAGAAATAAGGCTGAGCTGAAAAGTGATGACTGAGAGGTGACTCAACAGAATGCTGTAAAATCCTAAACCTACTGAAAGGCATTTCATCACCTTGAGGAGCACTCATACTGGACTTGAAATGTTAACTCTGTTTTTTCTCCACAGATGCTGGAAGACCTGCTGAGTTTCCCCAGCAACTTTCTGTTTTTATTTCAGATATTCGGCTTCTGCAAGGTGGTTAATGGGGTAGATATAAAGATATCTTGTGGAGAAATGTAAAATCAGCAACATAAATCAAAGATAGTCATTAATCAATCCAGTTGTACATTCATGAGGATATGACATTCTTAACTACAGAGTGTGGATACGGTGATCCTTCTGAAATTCATTCATCTGGTGTAGGTGAGCATTGCTGGTCAGCTCAGCTGCTGTGGTCAGACAATAGTTAATAGGCAAACACATTGCTTCGCAGTCCCAGGTAAGGACAGCATCGGAACAGGAGTAGGCCATTCAGCCCCTCGAGCCTGCCTCACCCTCCGTCAAATCCTGGCTAATCAGTGACCTAACTCCATTTACCTGCCTTGGGTCCATATTGCTTCAGACCTTTGCCCAACAAAAATTCTATCTCAGATTTAAAGTTAACAACTGGTACTTCATTAACTGCTGTTTGTGGAAAAGAGTTTGTGTGGACAACAGACATCCTTTCCTAAAGTTCCCTTGTAAACCAGATGGGATTTCCCCCTGACAGCAATCACCCTTAGACCCTTCATTCCACACTTTTATTACTTCCAACACCTGTCATGGCAGGTTATGAACCTGGAATCCCCAAGCCATTAGCTGGAATAGTAGCCTAATGATAGCACCACTAGGCCATCGCCTCCTGTCTCCAAGATGTAATAGACAGATTTAAAGGGAAACCAAATAAGCAGAGACAGGAGAAAGGAATATCAGTGTATTTTGATTGGGTTACATGAGACAGGGGCTGGTGTGTAGGAATGACATTGGTGCTGTTTGCTGGAAGCATTTGAGGCGTGGTGTTAGGAGATAAATGAAAGGTGTAGGTGGGTGCAAAAACAAATTCTTCCACTGAAAATCTGGGTGACAGTTCCTGTGGTAAACTCATGTGGTGGAATACATTTGCAAAGATGCCCCAGTGTTTATTGGTGGATTCAGCAAGCTGAGATTATCACCGTGCTTAGAGACACTGCACACAGGCGGGTCTTAGATGGGGCTTTGATTGTATTGGGAAGCTGCGATTGGAATCATTCGACAGCCTTGCAGTTCAAGGAGGATTCTCTGGAAAGCCAGGGAATTCTCTGACTGTGAGAATATGAGAAGGGCTCTTTGAAAATTTAATCAGCTTTACTCACCAACTCTGAGCACAAATGACTGCAGGGGAGTGGGTGCAAGATGTTACATTAATTATTTTCTTGCAAGGCACTGCGTTAAGTTACTGAAACATTATGAAAATTGAAAGCTTCTCAAGTACAGCACATTTCCAAGCCATGCATTCTTCAATTTTCACATCTGCTTATTGCTAGCAGAAATATAATGACTGTTTTGATCCACACTCAATGAGTGTAGTGACTATAAGGTGGAAAGGCCTTCAATCAACCTTATGTCTAGTATGAATCATAATCCCTTTGCTGTTGAAAGCAAATAATACTTATCTGTTAAATACTTTTCTTTTAATATATCCGTGTGTTTATGAGTTAACTTGTACAAACGGGCCTTATATCCCCGAAAATGTCAGAAATGAAGGACTGGTCTAATTGAGGAGTTTAAGACGATTAAAAGATTTGAGGGGAGATAGAAGCCATTTCTGGGAAAGGGGGAGCCCAGAACAAGGGGGTTATGTGTGGGAGGACCTCGAACGAGGGTGTCATCATTTACGAATCTAACGCAGAGATCAGGAAACATTTATTCTCTGTCAGAGGGTTGCGAGTTTTTGGAATTCCCTTCCTCAGAAGGCAGTGAATGCAGAATGTTTAAATATTTTAGGGCAAAGCGAGATAGATTCTTAAGCCATGGAGGCATTGGCCTAATGGTATTATTGCTGGACTGTTAATCCAGAGATCCAGGTAATGTTGTGTGGACCTGAGTTCAAATCTCACCATGGCAGATGGTGGAATTTAAATCCAATAAAAAAAAATCTGGAATTAAGAGTCAAATGGTAGCCATCAATCCATTGTTGATTGTCGCAAAAACCCATCTGGTTGACTAATGTCCTTTAGGGAAGGAAATCTGCCATCCTTACCTGGTCTGGTCCACATGTGACTCCAGACCCTCAGCAATGTGGTTGACTCTAAATTGCTCCCTGGGAAATTAGGGATGGGCAGTAAATGCATTCCTAGCCAGTGATGAAAGATTATTGGGGGTATGTGGGGATGTAAAGTTGGGATCAAAATTCAGATCAGCCAGTGATCTTATTGAATGATGGAGCAGGCTGTAGAGCCTACTGTTTGTCCTTCTTTGCATGTTGTAAAATTGCAGATAGGTCATTCGGCAGTGATGTATGAATACGCACCTTCATGAAACGAGTGGTGTAAATTCTGGAACTCAACCTCCCACAATACCTGTTGAGCCTGGTGTGGCTAGGGGTGCCAACCATTCAAAATTTCAAAACTGAAATTGTTGTATATTGATCCTGGGTATAGAGGGACTGCCTAATGAAGAGAGGTTGAGTAAGTTGAGCCTGTAATCATTGGAGTTTAGAACTTACTGAAAGATGCAAGGTTCTTAGGGAGCTTGACAGGATAATTCAGAGAGATTGCTTCCCCTTGAATGGTAGTCCAGAGCCAGGGGACATCATCTCAGAGTGAAGGGTCGCCCATTTAGAACAGAGAAGAGGAGGAATTTCTTCTCTTAGAGAGTAGCGAATCTGTGGAATTTTTTTACTACAGAGGGCTGTTGAATGGCAGAGCAGGCTCGATGGGCCGAATAGCCTAATTCTGCTGCTGTGTTTTATGGTTGACGTTGGGTTGCGAAGTATTCAAGCTGAGACAGGCAGATTCTTAATCTGAAAGGGAGTCAAGGGTTAGGGGAGAAAGGCAGGAAAGTGGGTTTGAGATTTGTCAGATCAGCTATGATCTCATTGAAAGTCAGAGCAGACTCAGTGGGCTGAATGGCCTAGTTCTGATCCAATTTTTTTTTTAAACAGAATCCCTGCAATGTGGAAGCAGGCCATTCAACCCAACAAGTCCACACCAACCCTTCGAAGAGCATCCCACTCAGACTCCCCCTTCCCCTAGCCCAGTAACCCTGTATTTCCCATGGCTAACACACCTTACCAACACATCCCTGAACAGTATGGGCAATTTAGCATGACCAATCTACCTAACCTGCACATCTTCGGACAGTGGGAGGAAACTAGAGCACCTGGCCAAAATCCACACAGATACGGGGAGAGTGTGCAAACTTCACACAGACAGTCGCCCAAGGTCCCTGGTGTTGTGAGGCAGCAGTGCTAACCACTGAGCTGCCATACCTGTGTCTTGCGGTAGTTTTGTTAAGCAAGAGTATTCTGATCATAGGCAGATGAGTTGTGCTGAGAGGAATTGAGGGGAATTCTAGAGGAAGTGAAGGGGCTTAGAGATCTGAGACTTGCAAATCATTAAAGTGGCAGCACAGTTGAGGGAGGAGTTAAAAAGATGCATAGCATCCTGGGCTTAATAAATAGAGACACGGAAAATCAATGCAAGACCGTTTAAGTGAACTCTTGGAGAAGGTTGTTTTGCCTTAACCTTCGCTGGAGTATTGGGTCTGATTTCATGCACCAATCTTTATGACGGGTGCGAAGGATTTGGAGAGGGTGCAGAAAAGGTTCACGAGAATGCTTCTTGGAACTGGGGAATCAGCAGCCTGGATAGTCTGAAGAAGTTTGGGACTGTTCCCAATGGGAAAAGAGAAAGTTGCTAGGAGATGTGATGGAGAAGTTCAAATTCATGAGGGAGTAGACTTGCGCCCAGCGGTGGAAGGGTCATCAACTTGTGAGACGTGATAGGCAAAAGGACAAGTGGCAGCAGGAGGAGAAACCTTTCCACGCCATGAGTGTTTGCACTCAGGAATACGCTGCCTGGGAGCATGGTGGAGGCAGATTCAATTGCAGTTTTCCACAGTGCATTGAATAAGCAGTGGCGAAGGGGGCTAAAGAAATTTACAGCAACGGAGAATAGGGAGGGCAATGGGACCTACAATAATTCTTGCAGGGGGGTTAGCATGGTTATAATGGGCTGAACGGCCTCCTATTCTATTTGTTTTTAAATCTAGTTAATGGCAAGCTCTAACTGAATGGTAGATCAAGCTCCAGGTGCTCAATAGCCTGCCCCAGTTTTTGTGTTTCTTCCTCCCTATATCCAAGGGTACAACTTGCCAAGAAGTACAGTTGTTATCACATGTTCGTTTATCTTGCAGAACCCACCACCGTCGAGACCACATCCTTGGCGACTGTTGGCATGAAGACCACGGTGGTGACCACAACCCTGACCACCACAGAGAGAGCACCCGCCACCAGCACGCTGGCAGCAGGCACCAAAGAGGGCAGCCGTGGGCCCAAACCAGGACTCCCTGATGCTGGGACGAAAACACCGTCCGTGTCCAGCTTCCTGCCCGTTCCGGAGAGATTCTGTGGGGCTACGCATGCCAGGGAAATAGGCTGGCCTCAGACCCAGCAAGGCCTCATGGTGGAGCGTCCATGTCCTAAAGGCACTCGAGGTGAGCATATTTCCCCTCATTTCTCTGTTGTATGCGGTATTTGAACTGTTTGAAAGTACTCGGTATAAATTCTAGAACGGAGAGTCTATCATAGAATCGTAGAACCCCTACAGTGTGGAAACAGGCCCTTCGGTCCAACAAATCCACACTGACCCTCAGAGCATCCCACCCAGATCCACCCCCCTATAACCCATCTAATCTACACATCCCTGAACACTATGGGCAATTTAGCATGGCCAATCCACCTAGCCTGTACATCTTTGGACTGTGGGAGGAAACAAGACCACCCGGAGGAAACCCACGCAGACACGGGGAGAATGTGCAAACTCCACACAGACAGTCGCCCGAGGGTGGAATTGAACCCGGCTCCCTGGCGCTGTGAGGCAGCAGTGCTATAATTGTGCTCAGGATAGGTTATTTTTCATGGCAACATCATGTTCAGGCCCTGGATTTACAGAGGAACGTGAGCTTGTTGGACATGTGAACAGGCAGGGAAAAGAGTCCCTACAGTACAGAAAGATTCAGCCCAGCAACCCTGCATCGACTGTCTGAAGAGCATCCCACCCAAACCTGCAACCCCACACATATTGTGGCTACGTGACTGGACACTATGGGCAATTTAAGCATGGCTAATCCATCTGAGCTGCACGTCTTTGGACTGTGGGAGGAAACCAGAGCTCCTGCCAGAAACCCACATAGACACGGGGAGAACGTGTCACCAGATGGTCACCAGAGGGTGGAATCGAACCTGGGTCCCTAATGCTGTGAGGCGGCAGTGCTAATCACTGAGCCAGCCTGTTGAGGGATACAGGCCACTTGCAGCCAGATGGGCTTAGTTTAGATTGACATCATGGTCAGCACAGACATGGTGGGCCGAAGTGCCTGTTCTTAAGCTGTACTGTTCTATGTTCTGTGTTTTCTCGTGTTGCCAAGAAGAGGCTTTAGCGTTGCACATTGCAATCCTTAGCTTGCTTCTCGCAACAGAGACATGTGAGGTGATGAATTTTGGTGGGAAGAACATTGAAAGACACCACGAAATAAGATGTACAATTCCGAGGATGTTTGCAGGAGTAGAGGGACCTGGGGTTTATATGTGCAAGGCTTATATGTGGACTAGGACACCAGGAACAGCTTTTATTCAGTTTTTTTGCATCTACCCGAGATGCTGCATGTCTCAGTTTAATATTTTCTCTGAAAGACGGTACCTCCAGCAGTGCATCCCTCCCTTTGGGCTACACACGAGTGCCAACCTCGACTTTGTGCTCTGATCTCTTGAATGTGACTTGAACTCACGACCTTACTATTCAAGAGATAAGCGTGTTCTTCACTGAGTCATGATTGATAGAGAAGAGAGCAATTTCATAATGACACATGCCTGACCACCCTGGTGAGAATGTGCCGTGAGTGAGTCAAGCAATAAACAAGGAATAGGAGTAGGCTGTTGGGGCCCCTCGAGCCTACTCGCCATTAAATGAGAGTGAGGATGATCTGATTCCAGCCTCAAACCTGTATTCCCACCTCTTCCTGATAACCTATCCCCTCATCTTGCTTATCAATCTATCTACCTCCGCCTTCAAAATATTCAAGGGCTCTGCTTCCACCATCATTGGGACAGACTTGATTGGCTGAAGGGCCTCTTATGTGCTGTCTGACTCTATGCCCATTTCAGGTAAAGAGTTCCTTTCATCTTCCTGTTAAAATGGACAGTTTCCTATTTTCCCAAATTGTTCTATCTGCCATATCTTTGCCCGCTCCCTTAACCTGTTTTCTTATTATTGTCTCCTGTGGTCTTGTTCACAACTTATCTTCTGACCTATCTTTGTGTTATCAGCAAATCTGGCAACTGTACCTTCCATCCGCACATCTATATCAGGAATATAAATTGCCAACAGATTAGTTCCAGCACATCACTCGTTATGTCATGCCAACCTGTGCCTACTGTCTGTACCCTGTTAACCAGCCAACCTTCAATCCATGCCCATATGTTGCCTTGGCATCTTTACTTCCTGCAATTACCTTGGATGTAGCACTTTATCAAAGGCCTTCTGGAAATCTAAATACAGTACATCCACCCGGTCCCCTTTACCCACAGCACATGTTACTTCCTCAAAGAACTCCAACAGATCAGTCAAACATTTGTTCCCTTTCACAAAACCCTAAAGACTACAGCATGGATGAAGTAGTTAATTGGTGTTGCAGATGACCATGTGTTGGCTGATCTTCATGTTGTTATTGTCCAGTGGGACATTCAGAAGGATAGGGCATTTCTGCTTTCTTGCTGTCACATGACTCTAATAGCTGATGAATATACCAGATTCCTAGAGGGCTTGACTATGTGGGTGCAGAGAGATTATTTCCCCTTATGTGATAGTCTAGGACCCAAGACCACAATCTCAGAACAAGAGGTCACCTATTTAAGAAAGAGATAATTACGAATTTCTTCTCAGGGTAATGAATCTGTGGAATCCTTTATCGCAGGGGCTGGGTAGATATGCTCGTAGCTGAGATAGAAAGATTTTTAAACAGTAAGGGAATCAAGAGTTATGGGGGAAAAGTGAAATTGAGGATTATCAGACCAGCCATGATCTCATTGAATGGGAAGCAGACTTGATGGGCTGAATGGTTGACCATAAGGGAGACACTGATGCCATGTTAATGATTACAATCCCTGCAGGGTGGAAGCAGGCCATTCTCCCATTGTTCACAGCAACCCTGTAAAGAATATCCCACCCATCCTGCTCCCCTGCCCTTTTCCCCATAACACTTCATTTCCCTAGCCTCCACATTCTTGGATACTATGGGGCAAATTAGCAGCGCCAATCCACCTAACCTGCACATCTTTGGACAGTGGGAGGAAACCCACACAGAATGTGCAAACTCCACATGGACACTCACCCGTGGCTAGAATCAAGCCCAGGTCTGTGGTGCTGTAAGGTAGTAGTGCTGTGGAATTTAGATGAATATTTCTGGAATTGAAAACTAATCTCAGTAAGGATGCCAATAAAACAAAGGAAAGGAAATTTAATTTGGCCTACGTATGACTCCCACCGTGATATTATTGATTCTGAACTGCCCTCTACAATGCTTGAGCAAGCAATGCAGTTCAATTACTGATAGGTAAGAAATTTCCAGACATGCCCCCCATATCCCATTAAATGACTTTTGCACAGTAAAAGGTTCTTCGGCCTACCGAGCCTGTGCTGACACATGTTGCCGTTCTACATTCAAAAACTTTTGCCCCGACACTAGCCATATTCCTCTGTTTCCTGCTTATTCAGGTCTCTGTCAAGGTGTTCCTTAAAAGTTGCTGTTTTATCCACCTCCACCACCTCCTCCAGCAGCTCATTCCAGGTGCTTACCAAGCTCTGTATAAAAAAACTTGCCTCTCTCAGCCCCTTTAAACTTACCCCCTTTTACCTTAAACCTATGTCCCGTAGTAAATGACACTTCTACCCTGGGAAAAAGACTCCGACTATCCATTCTCTCCATGCCTCTCATAATTTTGTAAATTTCTATCAGGTCACCCCCTCAGCCTCCGACATTCAAGTGGAAACAAACTGAGCTTGTCCACTGCCTCCTCATAGATAATGCCCTCCTAATCAGGCAACGTCCCGGTAAACCATTTCTCCAAAGCTTCTGCATCCTTCTGGTATTATGACAACCATTATACACAATAGTCCAAATGTGGTCCATACATATCTGCTTCACTAATGTCCTTTAGGGAAGGAAATTGCCATCCTTACCTGGTCTGGCCTACATGTGACTCCAGACCCACAGGAATGTGGTTGACTCTTAACTGCCCTCTGGGTAATTAGGGATGGGCAATAAATGCTGCCTGGTCAGCGACGCCCCCATCCCGTTAACAAATTTTTTTTAAACATTGCCAATTTTCATACTCTGTGTAAAAACCAAAAGAACTGCGGATGCTGTAAATCAGGAACAAAAACAAAGTTGCTGGAAAAAGCTCAGCAGGTCTGGCAGCATCTGTGAAGGAGAAAACAGAGTTAACATTAAGAACTGATGGTGGCTGGGAAAAAGTCAGTTTATATGCAGAAAATAGGGAGGTGGGTGGGGTAGGGAGTAAACAACTTTTTCTGTGTTCCCCTTATCCTCACCTACCATCCCACCAGCATCCACATCCAGAAGATCATCAGACGCCATTTCCGCCACCTCCAGCAAGATGCCACCACTAGACACATATTCCCCTCCCTTCCCTTGTCCGCCTTCCGCAGGGACTGTTCCCTCCGGGACACCCTGGTCCATACTTCCTTCACCCCCAAAACCGCCCCACAACCCTACGGCACCTTCCCCTGTAACCGGCGAAGGTGCAACACCTGCCCATTCACCTCCTCCCTCCCCAGTATCCAAGGGCCTAAACATACCTTCACCTGCGCTTCGCAGAATCTAGTCTACTGCATTTGCTGCTCACAATATGGTCTCCTCTACATTTGGGAAACGAAGCGTAGACTTGGCGACCGCTTCACAGAACATCTACGTTCTGCTCGCAAAAAAGACCCTGAACTACCTGTTGCCTGCCACTTCAACGCACCACCTTGTTCCCTGGCCAACATCTCTGTCTCCGGCTTGCTACTGTGTTCCAGTGAAGCCCAGCGCAAGCTGGAGGAACAACACCTCATTTTCCGCTTGGGGACCCTACAGCCCTCCGGACTCAATATTGAGTTCAATAATTTTAGGGTCTAAACTCTCCCATGTCCCAGCCCCGCACCCCACACAGCCTGCCACTACACACCCCCTGTTTTTGTCACTAACAGTCCCCATTAACAACTATTCACCCTCCCAGCCTGATCGTTAGCAACTCCTTTGTCTGTCCAACTGTCTTTCTCTCTCTCTGGGCTCTATCCTATTGTTTACTCCCTACCCCACCACCTCCCTATTTTCTGAATATAAACTGATGTTTTCCCAGACACTATCAGTTCTGAGGAAGGGTCACCGGACCCGAAACGTTAACTCTGCTTTCTCCTTCACAGATGCTGCCAGAC